TGGCACAATCTCTGCCTAGAGTGGATAGAGTGAAAAAATGGCACACATGAACAAAGAGACGTGGGAGAGAAGGCAGGGAATTTTCAAATGCTTTTTAAGTCAATTCTTCACATCTCTTCAAGTTAAAAAATCATTAAGGAACTCCTAACTCCATTAAGGACAAATACCTTCACATTTCCTGGTACAGTTTGGGATTAGTTATTGAAGTCAAGGGAATTTAGGAATACAAGAAATCCAATACTAAAGTGTCCCCTTCAGCTTCTTCCCTTTCTTGATGTTGCTTACCACATGGAGGTGTGGCACACTTCACATTCCTCACTAAATACTCAGACTGAAAATTGGCCTTTCTGCTTTGAGCAGAAGGTGGTAGATGTAGTGGAGTCATGCTAACCAGTTTATATACAAGTAGGGTGATGATGGGTGACAACAGAGAGATGTGAAAATTACATAGAGGACTTTTGCTGTGATGAATCTGAGAAGGAAGCTACTGTGTACTGAACAGTAATATAATGTGTGACTACTACTGGAGAAAAGACACTGGAGGCGAAGGGACCACTCCTAACAGCACAACCGGTTCCCCCCACTCAGAATGCCTTTCTCGTCTCTGAAATCTCCATCCTCCAAAGCTGGACTCAAGTCCTGACTTTTTGATAAAGACTTTCCTTATCACTTGAACCCACTTGCCATTCTCTGAACCCATACTGCAGTCTCTGTTATTTGGCTTAGTATCTGGTTAGTATTTAATTGTTTCATGTATTTTCATCTCTTGCTTTCATTAACCATGAATTTTCTGGAGGCAGGGACCATGTTTTGCTGCTTTTAATTTTTTATTCTAAAATACTTTAAGCATTCACAGAAGTATAGAGAACAGTAAAATAAACCCCATTTACTCATCACCCACATTCAATAATTATCAAGAGTTTTGCCTTTTTGGCCTTATATGTATATTCTCTTTATTCTTTTGCTAAAGTATTTTATAGTCTATTTTAGTATACATTTCTAAAATAAAATATGGTACCATAGCCTCAATGTTTGTGTCTCCCCAAAATTAAACTCATTGTGATAGTATTAGGAGGTAGGGCCTTTTGAGGTGATGGTATTTAGAGGTAAGGTCTTTGGGGACCTTTAAGTCATAAAGTTGAAGCCCTCATCAACAGGATTAGTACCCTTAAAAAGAGGTCCCAGAGAGCTCTCTTGCCCTTTCTGCCATGCAGGATAAAGCAAAAAGATGACGGTCTACGAACCAGGAAGTGGGCCCTGATCAGACCTGCTGGCACCTTGATCTTGAACTTCCCAGCCTGCAGAACCATGAGAAATAAATTTTTGTTGCTTATAAGCTACTCAGTTTATGTTGTATTCTTATAGTAGCCCAAAAGGACTAAGATAAATGGGTGTTTTCCCAAGTAACAATGATACCTAAAAAAAAAAAATCAACAATAATTCCGTGGTATCATCTAATGCCTACTTCATATTCAAATTTACCGAACTGTCTCGAAAATGTCTTTTGACAGTTTGATACTGATGAGCATCAGTATAAACAAGATCCACGTACTGCATTTGGTTATCATGTCTCTTAGTTCTCTTTTATTGTAAAGCAGCACCCCACTCCATGCCAATGATTTGATGAAGAAACCCAGTCATTTTTCCTATTGAGTGTACTACAGTCTGGATTTGTCTGTATGCTTCCCTATAGTCTTAGGTATTGTTTTTTATTCATTTATTCAACAAATATGTATTAGGAGCAGGATATGAGCCAGAATTCTATAAAATACAGTGGCCACAAAAATGAATACAACTATAGCGCTGGCTTAAACAGAAGAAAGTTATAACAAAATTACACGAAATATTAATTATTAACAGTTGTGAGATGTGCTAAGGGAAAGTACAGGTAATAAGATAAATTATGGCAAGGGAATCTAACCTACTTTAGGGGTCAGAGGGAATATTTATTTTATATAGTTCAAAGCACCTAATACAGTGTTAAGTAAGAAAAAATTCAGTATTTCTGGGTTGGCAGGTAGAGTTAAGTTTTCTGCAGATAGTAGTCTTGCAAACTAAAGGACATACCACCACCCCTTTGGTTCTGAAGATCAAATTCGATTATCTTAGGAGTCCAAGTTAGGGGAAACTGAAGGGGCAAATCAATAGGTGGGTTTCCTCCGTAAAATATAATACATTCATTTAGAAGAGAAAGAATAATTCAGGAAATGGCTACATGATAAGGCCAGAGAAAAAAGACTGCATTTTCTGGACCACCAATTTAGATATTAGAATAATGAATTTTTGACAAGGAACAGAACATATATATTACTGAAACCTGGAAGAACATGCTTAGTAGGTTATCTGCCACACTGCTCAAGAGGGCTTTTAAGTTAAAGCTGAGAAAGGATGTCCAGGTACACTTTAAGACTGGATATAATGGAGGGTGACAGGACCGAAAAACTGTAGGCAAGCAATGATAAGCCAGATCTTCATTTTAAAAGAGTACTGCACTATTTTTAAAAGATTATAAAACATATTACTTTTTATATAATACTAGCTACTTGAGACCAATGTAAATGTTTGAGTCTCCCTTCTCTGCACCAGATTTTAGTCTAGTTTTTGGGGAATAGCATGATATTTGTTTGAGCATCTATTCTGCTATGGATTGAACTGTGCTCCTTCCCCCACCAAATTTATATTTTGAAGCCCTAATCCCCAATGTGACTGTATTAGGAGATAAGGTCTTTAGGGGGTAATTAAGGTTAAATGAGGTCATTAGATGGGGCCCGAATCCAAAAGGATTAGTGTCCTTATAAGAGGCAGAGAGACCAGAACACAGTCTCTCTCTCCACCATGTGAGGACATAAAGAGAAGGTGATGGCCTGCAAGCCAGGAAGAGAACCTACATTAGAACTTGACCCTACTGAACCTTGATGGACTTCTACGCTCCATAACTGTGGGAAAATAAATCTGTTGTTTAAGCCACCTAGTCTATGATATTTTGTTATGGCAGCACAAGCTAATACACCTTCCTAATTTTTATCCCTCCCTACTTCTGCTCAACTTGTAGGATATATCAGAGACTAAGGCCAAGTATATAAAAAAGCATACATCTTGACAGCTAACTAAGTAGACAAAAGAAAAATAATTAGTCAAGGTATTTCCTAAACCAAGGGAATAGAATGGAATGGGTGATTTTTATTTGCTTGCATTTACTCGTAAAATCTTGAAATTTCTTATTCTTTTCCATACTAATAGCTCTCCTCAGGTGAACCAGATGTAGGTATTTTCAGCTGTGGTCAGCTTCTCTCTGACTCCCACTAGGGTTTAGTGATGCAGAGTAAACAGGGCTATAAATCAAATGCAATGCATTTAATACCTCAGTGCATTGCAAATTGATCTAGAATAGGGGTCAGCTCAAATCGTTTTTCAAGTGAAATTGTTCCCTTCCCCTGAAGGGAAGATGGAAGTTAAAGATGGCAAATCCTAAAGTCATATTGGATTCAGATGTTTGGCTGTTTGCGAGTAGAGGCCAGGTTTCCTCAGGTGAGATTCTTCAGTAATTTATCCGGTTGGAGCCATGGATATTTAAAAACATACATCCTTGTGGCTGGCATTAAATTTGAAATCTGGTGGGCAACTTTTCAAGAAATAAAAGCTACAAACAAAATAGCTTTAGTTCCATTCAGCATGCTGTGGGAAATGGCTAATGGACAAGCATTACTATGACTGGCAAGGCGAGCTGCCAATAAATGATGGGAGTAGAGACTCAAACCACCACATGACAGCAACACTTCCTAAGCTTATTTCACTAATTTGTCAAAGTAGGACATTATCTAAAGCGAAAGAAAAACAGGGTTGGAGAGTACAAGGGAAGGAACTACTTAAAAGTAAAAGCTATGCTTTTTTTCCTTATTGGTTAGTTATCTCTGTCTCCAGTAATTATGGTTTACTTCTACCATTTCCTGATACCACACTTGTTTTACCGAGGGCAACATTTCTTCCTTTTCAAACGACAAGCAGAGAGCAATGGTAGGATAAAATTTCCATTGTTTTCTTATTCCTGCATTGTCTTTTTCCATTAGAAAGAAATGAAATCCAGTGGTTGGATGGAAAGAAAGCTTGGAGTTCCGATGTGCTATCCCTCAGAAAGGTTACGTGACCTTGGGGGCCATATTGTCTTCCATTTGTGTCTTCTTTTCCTAGAAAAAAACCCTCAAGTGCTGTCTGCCATCTTTTCCTAAATCCTAACTCTTAAATCCCAACTCTTTCTTATCATTTTAAACAAATTAACTGTTAAGTGGGTCAATACTTGAAAGCTCTTATCTTCTGGAATGGGATGGAAACTATTCCATAAGGGAAGAATAAATTTACTTAATTGTATAGTTTCAAATTAGTCCAAAATTCAATGAACAATGCCCTAAATTCTATTTCAGATAGGCTTTTCAGTGTACTGGTTAAGAGCACAGAGACATTGGGGCTGGACTACCTGATTTCAAATGCTATTTCTATCACTTACTAGCTGAGCATGTTTAGATAATTTAATCTTTTATGTTTCCATTTTCTCATCTATAGAGAATAATAATAGTTCTTCATTACATGTTGTTGTATCTGGCAAAGAGAAAGCACTATATGAATGTCAATTATTACTAATATTATTATCTCAGAAAATAGCTAAAGGGCATTACCTTAATCTCACTACTATTTGTTAGTACTGTTAAACAGTTATATGTAAAGCCAAGTCAATGCTCGCTTGTCTTAGGTCACATAAAACAATCTTCCTGTTAATCAGATAAGGAAAAAGGATAAGAATGAAATCCTTTCTTCAAAATTAGCCTTAACCAAGCTAAGATTTTACCAATAACACAAAGTATACACTTGACTTTTAGAGGCAAGATATTCTACTTAAAACCTACATGCTTACATGGAAAGAATCAAATGGAAAACATACTGTCACAGCAGTCTAGTCTAACATATTGACATAATCTAAAACATTGCTCTGTGAGCAAAACACATACTTCTGGGGTGATCTGTTATCAACTTCGGCCTTCAGTCGTAAATTCTCCCTCACCAGGCCACCATTTTCCAATTTCAATTTTTTATTTGCCTTAAAAAAAA